TGCTTTTTTGTAACAGCATCACATTGCTGACTCATGTTGAGGTTGTGATCCACCACAGCTCCCAGACCTTTCTCAGCACTGCTGCTGCCAAGCCAGTTTTCCCCCATTCTGTATTTGTGCATTTGGTTTTTCTTCCCTTTCTACCTTACATTTGTCTTTGTTGAATTTCATTTTTTTGTCTATAGCCCAGTTCTCCAATTTATCAACCTCAGAATTTTAGCTCTGTCCTCCAAGGCATTGACAACCCCTCCTCCCCAACTTTGTGTCATCTGCAGATTTGACCAGTATGCTCTCTATTCCTACATCCAGGTCATTAAGAAAGATGTTAAACAACACCAGACCCAGAACAGCTCCCTATGGGACCCCACTTGAGACCTCCCTCCAATCTGATATCATTCCATTAATGGTTACTCTTTATTTGCAGTTGTTTAACCAATTATGTATCCACTTAATGGTCTGTCAAGCTCGCATTTCTCCAGCTTACTTACCAGAATGCCATATGACACTGTGTCAAAAGCCTTGCTGAAGTCCAGGTATATTATGTCCACCACATTCCCCCTACCCACCAAACCAGTTACCCATTCAAACAAGGAAATCAAGCTGATTTGTCATAATTTGTTCTTAGTAAATCCATGCCAGCTGCTAGTGATTATCCCTTCACCCTGTAAGTATTCCTAAATTGAATGTTTTATATATTGCTCTAGTAGCGTCTCAGGTATCAAAGTCAGGCTGACTGGTCTGTAGTTCCCTGCTCTTCTTTCCCCCCCTTTTAAAAGATGGGCACTATGTTAGCCCTTCTCCACTTTTCTGAGATCTCTCCTGTTATCCATGACTTGGCAAATATTATTGCCAGTGGCTCCAAGATTTCTTCAGCTAATTCCTTCAGTACTCTCAGGTGAATAGTATCCGGCCCTGAACTCATTTAAATTGGTCAGAAGATCTCTGATGTCTTCTTTACATATCACAGTCTGCATCCCTTCCCCTTTATTGTCTATGGTAACTTTGCTAGTCATCCGGTCACATGTTATTTTTTGTGAGAAGACTGAAGCAAAGTTGGCATTGAGCAGCTCTGCCTTCCTATCATCTTCTGTTACCACCTCACCTTCTCCACTGAGCAGTGGACCCACAGCGTCCTTGATCTTTCTTTTTTTCTGACATATTTGAAGAACCCCTTCTCGTTGTCTCTAGCATTCCTTGCGAGCAATAACTCATTCATTGCCTTGGCTTTCCTGATTTTGTCCCTACACGCTCACGCTATTCCCATGTATACTTCCTTGGTGACATGCCCCTCCTTCCATTTCCTGTATGTATCCCTTTTGGTTTTTAGATAGATTAAAAAAAAACTCCTTGTGCAGCCGCATTTGCCTCCTGCGGCTCTTCTTAGCTTTTCTCTGCATTGGAATAGCTTGATGTTGAGCCTCTAGCGAACAGGAGCGGCTAACAGGGGAGTTTTGCGAGGGAGTTCTCCAGGTGAAGGAGGAACGATTATGTGACCCTTGGGGTAAGTTTGTTGGCTGTAATGTGTGTGTTTGTGATTGTGGTGTGCTTGCTGTTTGACTGAAATATACCGTGTAATCTATTTGTTTAGGGGACTGTGTGCTGATTGTGTGTGTGCTGAGCCTAGCGTCCTGGTAGGCAAGGCTGAGAACTTCTTAATGAGGCTTTGATCCCTAAGCCCTTTAGCATCCATCAACCCTTAACCAGGGGTGGGGGTGAGGGCTACTCAGGAAGTCCAGGACTTTAAAAAGCCCACTCCTAAGCGACCAAAGGAGCTAGGGAACAGGAGCGGCTAACAGGGGAGTTTTGCGAGGGAGTTTATGGGGAGAGCGTGGGGGGGGGGCTAGATAAACTTAACAGTCTTTAAACTTAAAGCCAAAAACACCCCCTGATAAAAACCATCAACAAAGGAGTAAAAAGATAATGCAGGCAGAAGTCCAGCAGCAGAGCGGGGGCTATCCAGTTTATTGCACCCAACGCAGCATGTATGATTATCTGCCCTATGGGCAGGTGGTGTATGTGTGCATTCAGTGCAAGGAACGTCTGGCCCTCAGAGACTGTGTATGGGCTTTGGAGCCCCGAGTGACTGAACTGGAGGAGCTCAGGGAGACACAGAGGTACATAGATGAGACTTTCCAGGACACAGTATAACGGTCCCACCCCCGGTCTGACAACCTCTGTGCTATTGAGGAGGATGAAAGTCTCAGGGAAGGAGAACATCCAACTGGAGCAAAGGGAAAGAATCCCATAGTTGGGACCCTCCTTCCAGATGATGATGTGGTATTCTCTCAGACTGAGGGTAGAATCATAGAATATCAGGGTTGGAAGGGACCTCAGGAGGTCATCTAGTCCAACCCCCTGCTCAAAGCAGGACCAATTCCCAACTAAATCATCCCAGCCAGGGCTTTGTCAAGCCGGGCCTTAAAAACCTCCAAGGAATACCTCTCTGGGGGAGGGAACTCCAGTTATTAGGAAGAGACAGGTATTAGTAATGGGCAATACGATCATTAGAAACATAGATAACTGGGTTTGCGATGACCGGGAGAACTGCCTGCCTGGTGTGAAGGTTGCAGATCTCTTGAGACATCAAAATAGACTTATGTGTACTGGGGAGGAGCCGGTAGTCATGGTACATGTAGGTACCAATGACATAGGGAAGGATAGGAGAGAGGTCCTGGAGGCCAAATTTAGGCTGCTAGGTAGGAGATTGAAGTCCGGGACCTTCATTCTAGCATTCTCTGAAAAGCTTCCAGTTCCACATGCAGGGCCAGTTAGACAGGCAGAACTGCAGGGTCTTAATGTGTGCATGAGATGATGGTGTAGGGAGGAGGGGTTTAGATTTATTAGGAACTGGGGAAACTTTTGGGAAAGGGTGAGACTATATAGGAAGGATGGGCTCCACCTAAACCAAAATGGAACCAGATTGCTGGCACTTAAAATTTAAAAGGTCGTTGAGCAGTTTTTAAACTAAGGGCTCGGGGAAAGCCGATAGGTGCCGGTGGTTCAGACAGAGACATCTCTTGGCGGGGAGAATCTATTAATGGAGATTCTCTATGTCCTAGTAAGGAGGAGAGGATGGAAGATGATACAATATAAATAGGATCTGATGAGAAACCGTCAAATGAAAAAAATCCCATTCTATTACATCATGTAATGGCAGATAGCTAAAAAGTGACAAGTTTTTAAAGTGCTTATCTACCAATGCTAGAAATCTAAATAATAAGATGGGTGAACTAGAGTGCCTCATATTAAATGAGGATATTGATATAGTAGGCATCACAGAAACTTGGTAGAATGAGGATAATCAATGGGACACAGTAATACCAGGGTACAAAATATATCGGAAGGACAGAACAGGTCATGCTGGTAGGGGAGGGGCATTATATGTGAAAGAAAGCATAGAATCAAATGAAGTAAAAATCTTAAATTAACCAAACTGTACCATAGAATCTCTATGGATAGTAATTCCATGCTCTAATAATAAGAATATAGCAGTAGGGATATATTACCAACTACCTGACCAGGATGTTGATAGTGTCTGTGAAATGCTCAGGGAGATTAGAGAGGCCATTAAAATAAAAAAGTCAATAATAATGTAGGAATTTCAATATCTCCATATTGACTGGATACATGTCACCTCAGGACGGGATGCAGAGATAAAGTTTCTTGACACCTTAAATGACTGCTTTTTGGAGCAGCTAGTCCTGGAACCCACAAAAGGAGAGGCAATTCTTGATATAATTCTAAGTGGAGCACCCTCTTCCCTGGTTCTTGTCACGCAGACAGAAAGCAGAAGACCAGAAGTCCAAAGTGCAGGCAATGCGATGTTTATTGGGGTTAGTTCCAAGCAAACATATCCATAGCTCTACATGGTGGCAGAGTCTGTTTCCCAGTGTTCCATTTCCTGCTCTGGCACCATGGAGCATGTACCCCATGTCCCCCTTCCCAGCTCTGACACCGCAGAGCTTTGCCTCTGTCCCCGTTCCCCATTCCCGTATTCCACCTTCCCTATTCCCCATTCCCTATTTCCCCCTCCTCCTTCTTAGCAGGCCCAAATATACCAGCAATGCATGCCCACAGTCCCACCCCTTACGACTTATGGTCATGTTCCGTTTGGGAGGGTCATGAGTAGGGGTCTTCGTCCTACCCCTTTTGTATCTCAAGGGAGAGGTAAGGATAGAGGTTGTGTTTTGGCCAAGGCCAGGCTTTTCTTTGGCTTTTAGTGTGTCTTATGCCTGTCCCCCATTCCTTCTTCCCCCTTCTGCCTGGTTGTTTGACCTTGCCTTGAGATAAGGAGCTGAGGCAGTCTTCAAATGTGCACTCATATATTACATTCTCACCATGCCCAGTAACACTTTAACTGCTCTATCCATTATCTCTTCCCCTTGTATTAACAAACCCATCTGTCTAGGGAGAAGCAACACACACAGTGTCTTTTGTTCTTTGTTCACACATATTAGTATAAGAGTATCAAAAAGTGAACCCCAAAATTCTATCTCAGGCTGACAAACAATCTTACATGCTAACAGAGGCCGAAATCCCCCCACCGACTGGGATGGCCAGTCTGGGCATTGACTTGAGCTGGGATCAGAGGGAAGACTCCACACTCAGCTGGACATATGAGCAGTTGTCTGCAGTCAACGGAGCGGTAACCGACTCCCAATGAGTGAACCAGTGGCTCCAGTTTGAGCTAACCAATAACTGCCTCTATCACATCGACCTGGATCCCCGAACCCAAGAAACCCAGACCCAGCTGGTGGTGCGCCAGTGTTACCGATGGGCCATCTTGAATCTAGCCCACAATGTCCCCACTGCGGGCCACCTGGGGCATGAGAAGACCCTGGCCTGAGTCATGACATGTTTTTTTTTTGGCTCAGGGTGCATCAGGAGATCAAAAACTTCTTTAACTCGTGTCCCAAATGCCAGCTGGTGGCCCTGCGGGGTTTTATGAAGGCTCCCATGGTGCCCTTCCTTCTGATGGGAGTTCCTTCGAGTGGGTCACCATGGACCTCATGGGATTTCTCCCGAAGAGTGCCACCGGGTTCCGCTACATCCTGGTCATCTTGGACTATGCCATCCGGTTCCCGGAAGCTATTCTGCTGTGGAGCATCATGGCTTGGACTATTGTGGGAGAGCTCCTGAAATTTCTCACCTGGGTAGGCTTATCCCAAGAGATTCTCACTGATCAGGGCACCAACTTCACTTCCTGGCTACTCCGGCAAGTGTGTAGGCTCTTGGCGGGGTCAAACAATTATGTACTTTCATCTACCACCCTGAGACCGTGGACTGGTTGAGAGTTTCAATTGGACATTAAAGGAAATGCTGCACAAAATTCCCCTGGGAGAGCTGTGCCAGTGGTACCAGCTGATTTTGCCCCTGCTGTTGGCCATCAGGGAGGTGTCCCAGTCCTCCATGAAGTTCTCCCTCTTCGCGCTACTCTATGGGGGTTACTTGATCTGATGCATGAGACCTGGGCTGGCCCAGGGACTCTTGCAATATGTATTCCAGCTCCAGGAGCACCTGACCCCAGGGACCCAGGAGTGAACCTATAACCAGGGGGTGCAGTCTCGGACCTTTGAAACCAATGACCAGGTCCTGCTACCCTCCAAGGTCCTGCTACCCTTTGGCCTGGTACAAAGACCTGAGACTTGTTGCTATATGGAGACCCACAGTCCCTGCATGGATGCACAAATTGGTGCAAGAAGCCTCTTCATTATGTACCCCCTGCACAGGAACTGGCCACAGCTACAGGACTACACTTGGCTAGTGCCTCCAGAGCAGTGGTGGGCAACCTGTGGCTCATCAGGGTAATCTGCTGGTGGACTGCAAGACAGTTTGTTTACATTGATTGTCCACAGGCATGGCCGCACGCAGCTCCCAGTGGCTGCAGTTCGCCGTTCCCAGCCAGTGGGAGCTGTGGGAAGCAGCGCGGGCCACAGGGATGTGCTGGCTGCTGCTTCCAGTAGCTCCCATTGGCCAGAAATGGTGAACTATGGCCACTGGGAGCTGCGGGCGGCCGTGCCTGCGGTGGTCAATGTAAACACACTGTCTCGTGGCACACCAGCGGACTACCCTGATGGGCCGCAGGTTGCCCACCACTGCTCCAGAGGAACTAGCCACCCTAAAAGGGAGGTTAGGGTGTTTCCTTTCTAAAGGAGATGCAGCAGCCATGCTCTTTCATACATATGGGAAGAATGGCCTCCCTAAAGCATAACACTTCCCAGAACCTACACACTGGCAGGCTGACTCCAAACCACCACCAATGCAGACCTCTGGGTTTATGCCACAATCTACCCTATATTTAAAAAGATGTCTGCAAATACACTAGCCTGTTCCATAATAATTACGACTGAGGGGAGAGAAGTTTCAATTCCACCTCACCCTTCAGATCTGTTACAGGTTTCATTCACGGTATTAGCAAAACTACTACTGTTCTGCACCGTCTATTGTTAGTAGTTGGAAACCTCCAGTTGTCATACACTAGGGAACCTCCTACCCCACAGCACTGGTTCTACATTTGACTACATCACTAACACAGTGAATTCCATGTATATTTAGAGACTTCCAGATCTCATATGAAATGGGGCAGAAAGCATTAATCAAAACTCCAGACTACTCAGCAGGTAAGATTCCTGTGAAAATAAATCTATCCTTTAACATCATAATAAGTGGCTTATAATTTATGTGACAGTAAAAATAATAGAAGCCTCAGGAGACAATTTCCCTGCACTAGTCCATGGATAGTGAACACAAATTATTTGCTTAGATGTCCAGTGACAGGTACTGCTGCTGCTGTAGTTGCCATCTGTGTTCTTAAAACCCTACAAAACAGGATGGGAATGTGGTTAGCCAGAAAACATGAGATACTGCTTTGAAACTTTTATTATAGCTTTTATACTTGTACCCACTGTATTAGATTATTCATTTACCCCTGTTGTCTTTTAAAGCCCCATATCATATTTACTGATATGGATAACGAATTTTATCCTTTAATTCCATCAAAGAATGAAGATTTATTTTGTGTTAGAAAAATTCATTTTCAAATCCTTTTTTCTTCTCCCTTCACTGATTAGCTTTATTGAGTAAGATGTCTGCTGAGGCAACATTTTCAAAAATCCTATTATATACGTACAGACGAACCTTAAAGATACAAACACCAGAGTTATGGACTGACCAGTCAACCAGACACCATGTGAAACTGGAAGTAACCAATCAGGCAGCAGCAAAGACCAAAAAAAAAAAAAAAAGACAATACTGTACGGAGCCTGTATTGCATCTTAAAGGTAGGCATATCTGGGCTGCCTGTCCCCACCCCACCCTTACGAGCGGGGCAGCCACTTACAGCTAGGGTGACCAGACAGCAAATGTGAAAAATCGGGACTGGGGTGGGGGGTAATAGGAGTCTATATAAGAAAAAGACCCAAAAATCGGGACTGTCCCTATAAATCGGGACATCTGGTCACCCTACTTACAGCTATGAGGTGAAGACGGTGCTGCCAACTCAAGGCAGCCAGAGCCTGCAGAGCAGGAGCAGTGTTGGAGACTGTGCTGTTTTCATCCCTCCCTCGTCCCCCAGCTGGGAGGGAGATGCACTGTTTTTTACACTCCCCCCCCCGGCCAGGAGGAGGCATGCTGTTTTCACATACACACCCTGTTAGGAGGGGAACAAGCTTTCAAACTCAGTCCGACCCAGAGAAAGAAGCTGCCTGCAAGTAAGCTGCCGGTGCTGAGGAGGGAGCTGCTGCTCTAGCCTGGCCTGGAATGTCAGCTGCTGGGGCTGGAGCCCAAACTGCCTTTTGTTCAGCCTTCCAGACATTTCAGAGTTACGGACAACCTTAATTCCCGAGGTAACTGTAACCATAAAAGTGTATTTTTAAAGCATAAATCATAAGCTCTCCATTGTAAGGCTATCAACACTTTTTGCATACCAGATACAGTTGTCTACTTTATGTAATACAGGCAAATCAGTTATTGTGGCTGCTTCCTGCAAATCTGAGGACCCTGGACTTTTTTGATTTAATCTTATTGCCCCAATATTTGCTGCTGGAATTTTAGAGATTTTTACCCTCCACCCCTTTGTTCTGTATATATTCTAATTAGGGGACAAAGAATGTGGAGGTGGGCTTTGCAAAACATTTTTCTTTTCATTTAAGGCATTGTTTTTCAAGGGAAATTTAATTAAAGAAACCATATATTTATAAGTGGATGGAAGCCTGTGCTATGCAAACAACAAGGATTGTTGGAACGTAATTCTTGCTCTGCTTCCAGGCTTGGAATAACATTAAATCTTGCAGCTGTTCAAAATTTGCATTTTGCCTAAACTCAGTGGAAATTTTGAGTTCTAACTCTAAAACAAGTTCCTCCATTCCTACTAAAAATAACAGACAGAACATGATCCACAGGGAACATCAGGATCTTCACCTCCAGTTCCTAGTAGAGAGATGGTGAAATTGCAAACATGACTGTCACAATTGGCATTTACTGGTTGGTGGTCACAAAGACTGAGGCACAGATTCTCAGCCCTTCTCTGCTCTCATTGCACAGCTCAGGTGGCAGGAAGGGAGTGGGGACTGGGTGCAATCTTGGCACTGGCATTTCCCTCACAAATACTGAGGTTCCTCAGGGGGTCAGAGCCAGCATAGCCCTGGTGAAATGGACATGTTGGGAGTGAGGAGACACAGGGAGCAGGAGTGGCCAGACCATGAGCCAGCAGACAGGTGGATCTTATGCTGTTCATGGCTGCAGCAGAGTTGGGGGCTGGGCAGAGAAATGGGGAGTTGTAACCAGCTGCCTGACAGGACCCCTGGCTCTGCTTCACCATGCATAAACTTCGCAAAACAGAGAATCTAGCTGAGAGCTTAATTGTGCCATTTAGGCACAACCCATAGTAAGGGCCATATGGAGTTAGCAGATCTTTAGCCTCTATTCTGCATCCCCTCAGGGGCTGCATCTTACTCTCCCCTGTGTAAATGACCAATTTTGCCTTTTCTCTACCCATTATTTCCAGAGGATGGAGTATTCTGTGAATGCAGGTGATGTATTTCTCCCTAGTCCCTGGCCCTTATGCAGAGGGCACTGTGCATTAACATCAGAGCTAGAAAGCACCTGTCCCTGAATGAGCATGGATGGAGAGACCCTCTGTCTGAACATATCCCTCTTTCCTCATGGAAGGGAAGTGGTGTCTCCCTGGCACTGTGTCTGCACCTTCTGAAGGGTCTAGACTGTAGGAACAATTTAAACTGTACCCCTCCATGCTGTGTAACCCGCTGTTTATGCTGGAAGGTGCTAATGGTTGCCATCAAGTGGGTCTTTAATCTATAGACAAAGGCCTGGTTATAGCCAGTGCATCTGCTTGGCACCCTTCTTTTGGGCTGAATGAAAGGAGCAGTTAAATGTCCCTGGCAATGTAGTGATAGATGGAAACAATAGGAGGCTACTGCCCAAGGTGCTTGGCCAGGCCATGTGGTCTGAGGGTTCCCTGATTGCAAACACACAGGCTGAGAGAGTGGTTGTAGTGTGTGTCTGTGTGTTTTGATCAGAAAGCCAGCAGACAGCAAGAGAAGCAGTCGTGAGGATGGCTCTGAGAGGGAGCAGAGACAGACTTCCTTGGGCACAGCACTCATGGGTGAAGCAGACTTGGAAAGAGTGAGCAAGGAAACTGCCTGCTGCACTTTGTTTTTACTGTGTTCAGGGAAACAGGACTTTGTGTATATGCTTTGTAAATAAACAGTATTACACCAAAGACATACCTAACAGGAACAACCCTATGAGGCCCCTTATATTGGTTAACCACTCAGGCCAAAGGGGCAATATCCCTTAAAGCAGTTGGGGTGGGGATCTGTGGGGAGCCCGTAACCAGTGTGGGTCACAAGGCATTTGTGTAGACATACCTGGCTTCCGGTGGCCTCTCCAAGATCTGCAACAATCTTAAAAGATCCTCAGATTCTGAGAGTTGAACCCTGAGCTTTTTCCTTAGGGAGAGGGTCAAATCCTACTTCCCAGATGGAGTGACCAGATAAAAACTCATGAGAGGAAAACTGTGTGAGGAGGAGATCTGGCCTATTATCATTAATACAGGAATCATAGTACTCCGTGTATTCCTTGGATTCTGCAAGTGCTTCCCCTTAGGCGTTGTCAATTGCTCAGTACTTTGCTG